TACATGTTGCATCGAAAAGAGGAAACGCAAATATGGTGAAACTACTGCTTGACCGAGGAGCTAAAATTGATGCCAAAACCAGGGTAAGAATATTACTTATTTACTTACACTTTTCAAAAAGTAGAAACACTTCCAAATACTTTTGCATTGTTTAAACACTGGCTTTATTTTTGTTTCCTGCGTTGTAGTTGCTTGAGCCATGACTATCCCATTTATTCCTAAAAGGAAGTGGCCGTCCATATGTGTAAGTTAGTACGTAGTGTCTGGCTTTAATTGTAGGAATAAGTCTGAGGTCTAGGGTTTTCACTGAGTTTTCAAGAACTAACACTTTCATGTGAACTCTTGGAGCAGTGTGGTATAAAGCTGACTACTTTTCCACTAAAATCAAACCTGTGCACTCCTTTGTGCTGCAGTAGGAATATAAAATGTTGTAGCTGCCATAGAAAACACTGTGAAATTTCCTCAAAAAGATTAAAAATTGAAGTATCAAGTTATCTAGCAATTCCAATTCTGGATATATCTCAAAAGAATTGAAAACAGGTTTCTAAGAACTGTTTTCACATTTGTGTTCATCACAGCACTATTCATAATAGCCCAGATCGGAGGCAGCTCAATGTCTGTTCATAGGTGAATGGATTCATACAGTGTAGGACATACTACAATGGTGTATTGTTTAGCTTTACAGAGGGAGGAAATCGTGTCACATGCTACACTATGGAGAGTCCTTGAGGACATCATGCCAAGTGAAATAAAGCAGCCATAAGAGACAGATACTATATGATTTCACTTTGATGAAATCTCTCAGGAGTTCGAATCATGCAAGTGGCTGGGAACGTGTATGCTTAGCATGCAGGAGGTCCTTGCTCCACCCCCAGCTCTAAACAAGGCAAGAAACGACATGGAATTAGAAAGGACAGGTGTAGTTGCCAGGGGTTGAGGGAAGCCAGAGGTGCAGAATTGTGTGGTGATGAAGTTTTAAATTAAAAAAAAGCAAGACAGAAAAGTTCTAGGGACCTATAGGCAACAGTGTAAATACAGTTAATATCCATGAAGTATCTAGTCTAAAATGGTTATGAAGGTAAATTTTATTTGTACTTATCACAATTAAATTTTTGGAAACATTCAGGACCACAGACATTTCTAACTAGAAGTTCATAGTATGTTGCATGCAAAGAGGCGTTGGGAGGGATTTTTGTTTCAGCAGCGTTGGGTTCAAACCCAGGCCCACGTTTGTGGGGCCGAGGGGCGGAATGTGACCTAGAATCTGGTTCTAGACCAGCTTGCTTGCTGCAGTCCAGTTAACCTCTGCACTCCACATTTCTCTATTTGAAGATAAAGGAAATTGAAGTCCATCTTCATCCAACTGACGTGTATATAGTAGGTCGACGTAAAGTAGGCCAGAAATTATTCCCCATCATTACCAGTGTGTCTCGTAGCCCCTTCTAGCCAAGAGATTTTTCTCTTTCCATATGTCATGGGTTTGGGTTTTTTTTTATCAGATCTGAGCAACAGCCTCACCATGAACATGCACCGATTTTTTAGGCAGCTTCCCTGCTGTGTCTTGGGCTCGACCATTGCAGTGCTGCGCATTGTCCCTTTCCCAAATCCTAACCTCCAGTTCTTGAAAATTAACTTGGTAACCTTGCCTTGATTCCTGCAGCTCTTTAACTCACTTCCTCACTTGTTAGTCATTGTGTTCATTGAGGAACCAGTAGCTGACTCCTGCATGTCCACCATGGGCCAGACTGTGACAGAGCAGGACAACGCTACCTCTGTCTTTGTCAAGCTCATGGGCTAGGTTGTCGTCCCTAATCCAGGCCATCCACGGGTATTCAGCAAGACATGCAGACTTTTTTTTTTCCTAGTGACTGTTGAATCTGAAAATCATGTATGTATGGTACAAAAAAATAAGCTTTCTAGAGCAGAAAAGTGAAGGTGATGAAGACTGACCCCCAAAAGTTCTCTCAGTAGGGAGCTTACCGAGCTGGCTTGGGCATGTTTCAGTAGGAAGGCATTGTCCAAATATAAAGAGCGCTAGCATTGTTTCTGTAAGGGTCAGGGGTCTTCTGCTAGGCATATGTTATTTAAAGAGGCTGAAAGCAATAAAGATTAGAGATGCATTCTTTTTGCCATGTGGTTATCAGGTAGAGGCCCAGAGCAATGATAGACAGAGGGACTCTCAATAAAAGGGGAATGAGAGATGCAGGAGCAAGGCAAAAAAGCAGAGCTTGAGGACACAGATCCCTGGGCATCCACTTGGATTTTGGTTGGTTTGTGGGTTGGAAATCACCTTCTTTCCCTGTCTCTGGATACAGTCATCCCGCACCAGAATAGCAAAATCACTTTCCACTTTGCACTGTTTACCAGACACTCAACATCCTGTATTTAATGCAGCAGGAGCAAAAACAGGGTACATGAGAAGAGCACATGGGGTCCTTACAGCAGAGGGCCTGGAGATAAAACAAATATTCTCCCAGGTAAAAGTACCAGTTGGGTGAAATCACATAGGCAGGCAGGATTGCTGCGTCCTTTGCCTCGCTCTTCTCCAGGGCTGTCCTACATCAACAAAGGTGCTGACACCTTTCACCTCCTGCTCAGGTTTGACTTCCAATTACTTTTATTCAGGGCTAGACAAATGAGATGTGGGTGAAAAGGAGACACTTAGGGGGCAAGAAAACAGAAGAGCCTAGCGAGCTCATGGGGAAAGAGTGTCCCATGTGTCCAGAGTGGTTTTCTGGCAGGCCGAACAGAAGAAAGTGTCATGTGCAGCAAATGTGTGGACTGTTTGTGTTCCTCTGGTGGAAGCTTCCCTTCTCTCTGCCCAGATGACCAAACAACAGTTGGGAGTTAGTGACCGGAATGCAGGGAGCTAAAATGTCAAGAAGCCACGGGAAGAAACCTAGATACAGAAAATAGAACTTTCTATGAATACAAGGTTTAACTACTCAACCCAGTAGTAGCTTTTAACAAAGTTACTCATTCACCTACTACCTACTCAGTACTTCCTCCTGTCTACTTCTTTTGCATTCAACATATCAGGGGTGTCCTGGTGTTACAGGCCTCTCCTGACTTCGCCCCAGAGGCCAGGCCCCGGCTCCAAAGGGCCTCCTCCGCTCTCTTCCCAGCGCTGGCTGCAGACCTACTCAGGATGCTGCTCACAAGGCAGCACTTAATTTGACTTTTTTTAAACAATCCTTTCATTCAAGGAAGTAAGTTCTCCAAGAAAATAAATATTCCAAAGTCATGGCCTAGTCACTCTCAAAGAACAATAACTTAAAACACTGCTTCCTCCTTAGAGTTCCAAGGAAGATGGGAGCTGGAGCAAAGGACTAGATGTCCATGTCAGTCAAGACTAACCAAAAACAATTTCTTCCTATTACACAAAAGCATATTGATACTCTTCATCTTTCTGTCAGAGATGTTAGAAGTTAACTGAAAGTGTTCAGGGCAAAAGGACAAGTGTCCAAGGAACGCCCTTCACTCTCCCACCACGGGTTCATCTGTCGAAGGTGGAATATGTCCGACAGCTGTGAAGGTTTGTCAGAACCTGGAGGGACCAACTTGCTGCCCTTCCCCAGCCCTGATGATTTTCCACAGAATCGGAAAGTGTGACACCCTTGCCAGATTGGGAGTCTGAAAGCCCCAGATCAATGTCACCTGCCTGGTCCTCTTGAGAAGCTACCACATGGCTCAGGACCACTTTTATTTTAGTTAATTGCTATGTGGCCTGAGCTGTGGGGCTCAGCAAGTAGCCTGCTTTTCCTCCTGTTCTCCCTTGATACATGTTGGTCATGCTCACATCCAAGTTCCTTGAAATAACTTGTTACTACCTCAGCATGTAAATGCTCCTCAGTTGTCAACTACAAATATCTCCAATTATCTTCCTTCTTTAAAGAGTTGAAGTGTGGCTACAATCAATAAGTTTTTATTGTTTTTCAAATTATTAAGCTTAATTTGACTTTTTAAATCAGATCATCCGTGCTCTTAAAAGCACCTTCCCATATTTGAAATCAAAGTGTATGACATTTAAAAGTGTACTACCTAGAATTTTCCTTAGTTCTTCAAAAGTCCATTGCTTACACAAAATATATTCACCTCGTGTGAGGCTTAGTATATGCAGTTATTTGATGTTGATAATGTCAAAAATAAAGTGTGTTTAATTATATTACAGAATTCTTGTTCGGGAAGTGATATAATATGTAATACTTAATACATATAATAAAATATTACCATAGAATATAATATTCAGATTGTAGTAGGAACATATATTGTAATGCCTATTACAGTAATCGCACAAAAAAAAAAGGGTTTTTTAAGGTAAGAAGTCCAAAAGGAAGCCTGGCAAAGCTAGAGAACAATTAAATGACTAGAATATTACATAATCTGAACCTAACTGAAAAGAAGACAAGAAAGGAGAGACAAAAATCACAGAGAGCGGTATGGGGAAACACACAGCAGACAGCATAAGAGAAGGCCTAGTCTCCGCGAGCAAGCTGAAATTTTCCACACACAGAGAGGGCAGGAGGATTTCACCTTCTTTTAGTTTAATTTTAAACATATAGAATAGGTAGTAGTAAAATAGAGAAAAGAATTAGAAATTGTTCTCCCTCCTATACGTGAAGAGCAGAAATGAACTCTTGCTCTTAGAGTACGGAATGCCTGTGTTTATAGAGCGACTGCGACGCCAGCCGGAATATAAGTCCTGATGCCAACCATGTATCTGCCAGGTGACCTCGGGTAGGCACAGGAATCCCTGGGGCAGCGCGCCCACCTCTCCATGGACCTCCTGATGCAGTTCTCACGAAATGGTGCTCCAGATTACTCTAGACCTCAAATGCAAAGTACCTGCAGCAGAAGACGATCAAATGATACTGTC